TTAAGAGCTGCACCTGAACTGGTATTCTCAAAACTGAAAATACAGTTACTAATTCTACTCAACTTGCAGGATGTATACATGTGCTTTCCAAATCATTGGTTGTCACTCAAATGGACCACAGTGACCCTATCATGCCTTAAGGCAGCACTATACTGTGTATACTACGTATTTTCAAGAAATGACATTAAGAGGAAAAGGACAATCTTTCAAACATCAGTTCCTTACATAAATGGTGATGGTGCTTTATGGCTCCCCTTTCATCTCAAAATATCTCCAAAATTAGACAAAAGAGGGCCAGAGGCAAAGCTCAATGGTAAATTGCATCTTTCAGACGAGCTTTCAATTCACTGGTTTTTAATTTCCATTTCCTGATTTACTGAGGAGTGAAGGTGAGAATCATCCAACTGATGACAAAATAGAACAAGAAAACAGGATAAATGGCGAGGGCTTTGCGGTTTGGAGGCTGGCTATCGGCAAGAAAAGCTGTAGAGGCTAAACAAAACAAACAAAACAAAATGGAACCTTTAATATAAAAAGATTGTCACAACCACTAACATCTACTAAACTTGAATGTGCTTGGCATAGTCTGGAACATAGAATTATACTAAAAGTTCAGTTATATTTGATATCCTCAGAGAAAAAGGCATTCTGCAGCATAGTTTCCCAGACAGTTGAGAGCTACTAGTTTCTAGTATTAAGATTTCAACCATTTTACATGAAAATCTTTCTAAAAGGGTTTCCTACTCTTTTCTCAGAAGTTACTGAACTGTGATGAGTAGGCTTATTACAAAGATGTCTAAGGTTAGTTGCTCCTGTGGCAAATGACTTCATACTGCTGTGCTGGGTTATCAGCTCTTTATGATGCTGTCCCTCTTGTCCACCCAGGAAAGGAGACTCATCTTTTTACTTATTAATGACCACCTTTCATGGAAATCTTTCCTGAACAACCATCTGTTATCCTGCCACCCCAGGCAGATCTGCCCACATACCTCCTCTGTGTCCTCACCATCCCCTGAACAGACTTCCATCTTCCACCTTGGATGCCTATTGCCCTTAAGTGTTTACATGTCTGGCTGCTCCACTAAGTTATGAACTCTGAGGATGGAGACCATGGTTAGCACAATGCCTGACACAGAGTTTGTGCTTAAGAAATACTTGCTGAATTAAAAAATGGAATGTTTACAGGAGCCTCTCTCCCTTCTAAGATTCTACTTTCTGAACTGCTATGAGCCTGGATACTGGGTATTTAGAACTACATATAGGGTAAATTATCAGACTCTATGTGAGGGAATGAGGAGTTCTCCCATGGGTAAAGCACTCGACTTAATATACAGTCTCTGCAGTATCAATTCTATCACTCTTGGACCTTACTTTTGGATTACTTCTTGGATTTTAATCATGGTCTAGAACAAAGACATGATAATGCACTTAAAAATATTAAGCAGTCTGTCTATCCCATGAAACAAGAAGCTACCTTGTAGCTGAAGGTAGAATTTTAAGAGAATTTTAGGAAGGCAAAACTAATGAGCACTTGGCATTCACTGCCACTGCTACAGGCTCTTCCTAATCTTTAGCAGAATGTTCTACTGAAGCATAAAAGTACTATATAATGATACCTAACAACCTACACTGGGAGATCGTATAGTACACTTCTAAAGAGGTGTGAGATCTGCTTGGGTTTTAAACTTAATTCCCTTATTCACTAGTTATGTGTTCTAGGGCATGTTGTTTAACCTCGCTGTGTCTGTTCCTCATCTGTAAAAATAGGACTAATATATATAGTTTTTATTTTTTAGGGCTGTTGTGAGGGTTAAGTGAGATAATACATACATAGCACTCACAACAGTGCTTGGTCTGTAATAAGCAATCTGTATATGCAACCTACTATTTTTATTATTGACGAATTTCACAGGAAAAGTCCCAAGTCATTTCTCAAGTCACCTATGCCTCCTACATGCCAGGAACTGAGCTAGGTCTAGTGTAATCTCCATTCCCAATCCTATATATTATTTAATAATTTTAAAAAAAGGATGTGACTATCCACATCTCAAAACTCTAGATACCCAATCTGCATAAGGTGGACATCACCCCTATCAAATGCCTACTCAGAGAAGAGGGTTCCATGGATGACACTGGCAAGAATGATATCACCCATGTATGACTTAGGAGTTACATTGCTCCTCATCTGGTCTTCATCTCTTAACTCCTGTCCTTGTATGTTTTGCCATTGTAGAGATAAATACATTCTTACCTACTATAGACCATGTAAACATCACGATCACCACAAAAAGCCGGACCATGAAGTTTATTGGTCCTTGCTCGGCCAAAAGCACCAACCGACAAACCAGCATTGCCACTGTCAAGGGAAGTATACAGTAACCCAGCACACAGAGGCTCTGGAAAAAAGATCTAAAAAAATAATATACAACCATAAAGATCATCAATATAGTTGATCTGTATCATGAGATAGTTTATTACACAGATTTCTATGTAGCCTGGATTGCTACGGTCCTCAAAATACATAATACCTATACTTTAACATTGATTTTATGAAGATAGGTTTCTGTATTAATCATATGCTTTAAAATTTCTCTCCCCATACTCTTCCTCCTTTCCTCTCACACTCCTTAAGAGTCAATCATCTAGGATACCAGATGATCTACTCTAATTCGTAAAGACTTCCTTTTCCCACTGAACCTCTAAGACAGTGATTCTTAATCTTTTCTAGTTTAAAAACCTATTTAAGAATTTGTTGAAAGCTAAGGACCATTTCTTCCACAAAAAGGACATAATATCCTTTTTTTTTAAATATGAAATTTATTGTCAAATTGGTTTCCATACAACACCCAGTGCTCATCCCAACAGGTGCCCTCCTCAATACCCATCCCCCACCCTACCCTCCCTCCCAGGCCCCATCAAACCTCAGTTTGTTCTCAATTCTTAAGAGTCTCCTATGTTTTGGCTCCCTCCCTCTCTAACCTCTTTTTATTTTCCTTCCCTTCCTCCATGGTCTTCTATTAAGTTTCTCAGGATCCACATAAGAG